AAAATTATTTCTAAAGTATGTGTTTTATTTTTATTTTTGAAAAAAAAGTTAATTTTCTGTTACTGTTCAGAATCGTTCATTGAAAGATGCTGCTAATGATTTAGTTAATCATGCTGTTCGTTTTTATGTTAAACCAGATGATATTCTAGTGATTATGGCACGAGTAACAGCAGATAATAATTGTACTTATGAACAAAGATAATGCATACATTTAAAAGACGCTAGAAAAAAAAATTTATAAGAAGAAATTGTTTTAAGCAATAAAATGACAACAAAATGTAATAAGAATAATACTTTCATGTTCTATTGAATAATAGAAAAGCAAATTATTTCACAACATTCTATATGCATAAAAATCAATCTTGTTTTTGCCTTAATTAATCGAATTATATAGTTATTTGCATTTGTTGTGCATTGATACACATAGACAATATATTGTTTCGAAAAGCTATTTTTTTCGATTAAAAAGCTTATTTTTATTGGATTTCTTTAAATAATATGGATGACTATAATAATATATTGTGTAGAAATGGTCTCAAGCTAGCTAAACGATTCCATTATAATAAATTGTTTAAGAATCAAAGTTGACCAAGAAATTTTCAGACAGATACTGCAGGATTCGGAAACAATTTCATAATATTTGACTATTGACATCCTGTCAAATCCAACAATACTTAGTTAGTTGCATCTTGTCTTTTTCGATTCTAAGAGCAAGCCAAAAAATATTTGAAAACAGTTTTTATATGAAATATCTTCGACTACAATACTCAAGCAGATATTAAACAAATGGTAGAAAATCTCTATTTTTTCTCGAAGCTTAAGCTTCACATTAGTTGACGCTACATTTATCAGAGTCATTTTCGAATGGTAGAACAACATAGTTCATTTTTAATAATACAAATACAAAACAATCAAATGAACATAATTGGTTTTCTTTACTTGAATTTGCATTAAATACAACAGATATCGCTAAGTTATTGTGCTATCATTGAAATATATCTTTTTCACACTTTAAATCTTCACTAATAGCGATTCCTACGGACGAAATATCAAGTAATAGGA